CGAGGCGCTAGAAGGTTAACAGTTATATAACTTATTCTACCGGGTACCCATTCACTGCTGGGTGAACACAGACAATTTTGAACAAACTCACTTGCCTTAGGTGAGACCACATGTGTCAGGTGTGCCTCGTTCGGCCGGACAGAATTCCTAGAAACTTTCATGAGCTGCCAAACACGGTCACCCATCCAACGACTCTTCGTGACAAACGTGACTTAACTGCAACTGATATGTGACTTGGGTTCCATGTACAAGACCACCCACCACCAACTGAAGAATACCAACTGTTGGAAACAACGGGACCAGAGTTCCAGCATATGTATTCGAGAGGTCATCCAGAGAAAGTGCCTGGGAAAATAAAGAAACCTGAGAAACGCGATTCAAAATTAGAAAGGTCATTTCATTGAAGGATGTATGAAATAGAAGCAACAACACACTTAGCGGCGTGTAACCCACCACAGAAGTAAGACGGGGATCGTCAGCTGGTGCCATCATGACCTTTCTATTGACTCTCTGTAACCAGGCCAGGCTATCAGTGGGAAATACTATGTCCAAGAACTAATTCAGTTGAGTGAAGATATCAAGGTAACAGGTCTGGGCGCCATGCTTCTTGAAGACGGGCGATGGGGGAGTGGTTAAAGTGTTAGCTCGTCACGGCGAAGACCCCGGTTGTCAATACCCACATGGGTACAATGTGTGTCCCCCGCCGTGATATTGCTGGAATATTGCTAAAAGCGACATGAGGCAAAACCCAACTACAAATTTGAGTAGTTGAGGAATGGAATGCGATTCCGCAAGCTTTCTTTTGAACTTGATCAGGAGCATGAGAACAAGGTACATATGTGTCTTGGACGCGCGGAGGGTACAGAAGATATTGAATGACCGAGTGTTTCGTGTCTGTCATTTTCATTTTAGGGGTTGGTTTATACAACTGATATTTGCTAGTACTGTCTGAACTTTTCATTCATTCATTCATTCATTCATTCATTCATTCATTCAATCAATCTACAACAAAAAATACTGCTCAAAAGCATCATGGGCAATTATTAGTCCATATTTTCAGCAATGGTTTAAAAGTGAATAGTTGCGATAGGCGTTCTGGTGGTAAATTATTGCAAAGATGTGGCCAAGAGATCTGAAAGCCCCGATCTCCCTAGCATTCTGATACCTTGGTTGTAGTGATCGTAAAGGCTCATAGGCTTGTACAAGATCAGAAGGATATGTTGGTACCAGTCTTGAACACAAGAGTGAGCACCTTGATCTACAGAATCGTCATGTACATACACCCTTTCGTGGGGAGCAAAGAAGAAGCCCTCAACAGTGGGGGATTATGATCGTATCTGCTTGTTCCTAGAATGTATCCAGAGATATGCTGATAAGAGATTCTGTGTTTCTGTTTCCTTACAGGTAAATGACAGCGGGAGACGTGTGAGTCATCTTCTACAGACAGAATGGAAGACCCACGAAACCCACTCCATCAAGAAAGGTCAAACAGTCCGCATCCGGGGATTTAAAGGAAGCTACGTGTTGCGCGTGAAGCACAATGGACACACGATTCACGAGGAGAAATTCTATCTGGGCTACCAGGGCACGGACCTCAAAGTGTCACTCACTGGATCCAGTAAGTCTCCAGTTCTTCCAGCAGTTTCACATCAGTATACATACCTGCCAACTCTTACCCCTTCACATCATTCTGTAAACATACAGTGTTTACAGTTATTCCAACAGAATCACAACATCTGAATATAACGTTTTCAGTTCACCTCACGGTTAATCATAGAAGTTGGCTCGTCGCACCAAAGACCCGGGTTCGAATCCCCACATGAGTACAATGTGTGAAGCCCATTTCTGGTGTCCCCCCGCCGTGATGTTGCTGGAATATTGCTAAAAGCGGCGTAAAACCAAACTCAGTCAGTCAGTCAGTTAATCATAGAAGCCCTCTCTTCTTTATATTCTGTTTGCGTACACGGCCATCTTCAGTCCAGTTCTTCCGGCAGTTTCACATCTGTATACATACCTGTCAACTCTCACCCCTTTGGCTTGAGACTCACATTTATATTACTCATGTCACGCTCTCGTGACACAACTGCTAAATCTGACGCCAAACTTCAGCATGCACATGCGTGGATCCAGTAAGTTTCGAGTTATTCCAACAGTTTCACATCAGCATATACCGATTTCAGTTCAGTTCTCACGGTTAATCATAGAAGCCCACTGTACTTTATATTCTGTTGGCGTACACGGTCATCTGCACTCTGTATTTTCAGTTCTTACGGTTAATCATAGAAGCCCTCTGTACTTTATATTCTGTTGGCGTACACGGCCATCTGCACTCTGTACTTCCTGCCCTGCGTATGTAAATGAATATGTTGACAACCAGTAGACGTGACAGCAGGATGCCTATCTTACAACGATCAAAATTGTTTGTACATTAGAATTAGCCCAATGGTCTGTGATGTAGCAATTTGCTCTCAAGATATGCGACTCTGTCAGGAGCCGCTTGCTCTTGGTACGAATCTCAGAATCATCACGATTACCTCCCTTTTTTAATACACGGTCACCCTTGACTACTCGCAGCCGTTATGAAGTGTTGCATCACGTGTGTCGAGTTTAGATCAGGTGATGAAATTACTTAAATATATATATGTGGCGTAAAAATATGTTCACTCACTGTGCAAAAAATGTGTTATTGCCTTGTTCTGAAGGAGTGTCAGGAGCAGATCTCACAGAGTATCGCATATGTAGCACGGCATCCATTCCAGACGTAATCTGAGCCTTCTCTGGTCAGAAGGGGCGGTGGGGTAGCCAAGTGGTTAAAACGTTCTCTCGTCACGCCGAAGACACGGTTCGATTCCCCACATGGGTACTATGTTTGAAGTCCATTTCTGGTGTCCCCCGCTGTGATATTGCTGGAATATTGCAAAAAGCGGCGTAAAACCCAACATACTCACTCACTCACCCCATGAACAAACTTTCTGCAACATGGGCAAGATCCTTGAGTGTTGACACCAGATCAGAAGCTGACCCACTAAACACATCCTGAAACCTTTGGACCCGTTCTCATCAAAATACTGTTACCAACGACTAGATCTGGGTCCATGACTTTGATCCCGCTTCAAAATTTAGAGCAGACAGTTGGGATTACCCCGCCAAGGAAAATTTAATCTATGTGAATATAATGATTTGACTGTGTTAGTGAGTGTGTATGGGTTGAAGCCGCTTTTAGTAATATTCCAGCAATATTATGGCGGGGAACACCAGAAATGGGCATAACATGTTGTGCCCATGTCTGGAATCAAACCAGGGGTTTCTGCTTGAGGAGCGGTCGCTTTAACCACTCTGCTATCCCACCGTATAATGATGGTAGCAGCATATTTCTTCCACGTGAAAACTATAGGAGAGCTCTGGAGAAATGATATTATATTCGTGATTGTAAGACCACTTCGTATATTTGATATTCCGCTTGATATGCCAAACTATTCAATTTCCCGTATAGAAAGCTACCAGCATTCTTTTCATGTTCGCTCCCCTGTAAGTATCTTAACTTGCTTTATGGCATATCCGAGATTGGAGTCGTGGGTAGACTTCAATCGGGACATTATAAAGGCAACAGACCTATTTATTTGGACACTGGGCACTCTTGAGACCAACATGAGAGACTCTTCTTTTCCGAAATAACCACGGAATCCACTGTTTACAATCCAACATTTCGTTTGTTGCAGATTCCAGCCCGCACGTTGACCAGATCCTGGTGGGATGACCTCAGCCAGCCATGGGAAAGGTGTACCTTTCTCTGTGTATTGACGAAATAAACATGTTGACAACGAGAAATTTTTTGAATGCCTGGATTGTAACTTTACTAGTTCAAGACAAAATTAGCTCAGTGGACTCTGGTGTAATAATTTGATGTCCAGAAACCCACCCTGACCCGAAATCTATCCGAATTTCAGATTTGCCATGATTACCTCCCTTTTTAGCGAACAACGTATCAGGTTATTGTGTTGTTGTTGTTGTTGGTCGTTTAATGCCGTACTCAGCAATGTTCCAACTATGTGGCGATGGTCTGTAAAGAATCGAGTCTGGACCAGTCAATCCAGTGATCAACACCATGAGCATCGATCTACACTGTTAGGATACGATTACACGTGCCAACCAAGTCAGAGTGTCTGACCACCCGATCCCGCCTCTTACATGTTTTGTCCGTATCTTTACGAGTCGAAAGGTTACAGATCCTACGATTATTGCACAAGGGATATTAACGCAGCCTAGTTGTTTTATGTACGTTCAAGTTGATGCATTCCCTTATATACAATCAGATGTGTAGATACACTGTGACATCTGTAAAGTCCATTGGACCATACCAAGTAGAGGTACATCAAAAGGGTCTTGTGCGCTCGTTCACATTTTCAAGAAAAGGTGAAATAGAGATAATGCGGGTAGCCTGTTGTTCGAAATTTGATAAATTTAAAAGAAATTCATTATAATGTCACTGAAGAATTTCATTTTATGTTCAAATGCCCTGTGTATTATGATTTGAAACTGAAATATTTTTCATACCTGCCTATACAAATAAAGATATTGACATTTTCCTACACCTAAAAATAAAACCTGCACGCCTCTCGCGTGATAAATCGTTCACTTCCATGCTATGAAATATTTCCTGCCGTTCACCGCTCCTAAGGTGTGAGTGGGGTATTCATGCTTAACTGCGGCATGGTATGTCAGTGAGCTAGCACTCGAAAACCAGCTTAAGTCTGGGTTAGTACAAGCAGCCACACATACACACGCATGCACTTCGTCATATGAGCGAAATATTCTTAAGTACAATGTCAAACCTCATTTCACCTCACCTCACCATAAAAGTGCAAAATCAGCGAAATTAAACGCTATTTTACCTCACCCAGTTCACAGCAGCGTTCACTTGCATTTGGCTATACGTGCAAAATAAGATAAAATTCTTGGAATAACTGTTTATATTCATTAAGGCTGTTGGATAGGTCAAGGACTTGCGCCTATCTGAGAGTGATTAAACGGTCACGTTTCTTGGTACTGTTTAGACATATTTGACGTGGTCCAAGCAGTAATGTGGGTCTACAGCCTGTTGTTCCTCCCTGCTGTCTGGGGGGGAACTGAACTTCTGAAGAACGCCGACTTCGAGAACCATTTCAGCAGCTCCGACTGGAAGGCTATGTCCGGCACCATCTCGGCGACATCCGACGCCTATCACGGTCACCGAGCGGCTAAAGTCACTAAAAGGTGGACCGAATTATTAATTTCGTAACATGACATTTTGATTCAGATATGCAGAAAAAAACGTAAAGGGTCTTCCGATTTGTTTCTTATAACTATATTTATTTCTCACTCAAAACAGATTAAGTATATTTACAGCTTGTTCAGCTTGACCTGAGCTACTCTGCATATGCATGACCGGGAGGTCAAATGGCACAAACGGCAGGTCGTATTAACGTCATTAGATAGGGGAGCAGACAATGTTATTAATGTTGCGTTTGTGCATACATGAATTCGTTACAGAACTTGTTCCGGAAAACAACACTTCTAAAAAAAACAACCATTTCATGTTTTAATTGAATTGTGTATACAGTCATATGCTATCTAGTTTGGTTTACTAACGTTACAACGTACAGACGTCAGTTACTTTCACAATCCGATTCATTCTCGCTGTCACACTCTACACCCAGTTCAATTATCACTTTTTCTATAATTTCATCTTCAACTGCAATATCTCTGTCACAGTAGTCCCCTAAAAACCCGAATCGGAAACATAAAACCATCTGTAGCTTCTTTTGAAAAGAAAGTTAGGACATTGTTGACGATTTCTCGACACTGAGATATCAAACGGAAACATTGTTTCGGCTGTTCTGACATGTTGACAATCAACTGACAAAGGTGCACCCCTTCCCAATAATAGACCCAGCCAGTTGTGACACGGTCACGCAATGCAATACCATTCACCTGATCAGGTCAAGCTGAACAAGGTGTAGTAATATGAAATATCTGATTTAATTTTTGTTAAAGTGTTTAACATTTTGGAGTGCAGTTTGGGATGAAACGAATAATTTACACAATCTGATGGGAATTGACATGTCCACACCAAGCAACACTAATACAACGTCAAAGAAGTCATTTTAAAATTAATTTAATTGTATGTTTCTATCTTCTCTATGTTATAAACGTAGCGCTGGCTATCGGATTTGGGCAGTTGTTTTGTTTAGAATATTTTGATGTTGTTGTATTTTTAGAATACAATGAAAGCGCATGTGACTTTTTTGTGTGAATCTATACTTTATTTGATTTTTTATAGCATATTCAATATATCTCCTTTAAATAATTAGCTGATGCAAAAAACTACGACGTTTATAACAAATCGCCGCTATATCAGTAACTGATATAGCGAACCGTCCTTCTAGTCCAGACCATTTGCTGTTTATATTAGTCGAGTGAGTGAGTATGGTTTTACGCCGATTTTAGCACTATTCCAGTAATATCACGGCGGGGGACACCAGAAATGGGTTTCACACTTTGTACCCAATATTTGAGTCGAACTGTGTATTTTGGTCGAACTGTGTATTAATCGAGCTATGTTTATAACGCATTAAAATAAGTGGTTCCTCTGTGTTCGTTATAACCGAAGTTCATTGTAATTTCAAAAGTGACCAGGCGGCTATTTTTATTCTTATAAAAGTTTCCGTCAACATTTTCATCTTCGTCATTACCTCAAATTCCGCTAGACATTTATCAACAGATAACTGCATTCCAAGAACTTCTTTTCCGAATAAGGAGAGGCGAGGTGGCCCAGTAGCGTCCGCTGGTTGTGACGAAATTCCCGGGTTCTGTTCCCCACTTTCTAAATCCATTTCTATTGTCCCCCTGCCTTGATACCAATACGATGTTTGTACAGGCGCCGTAAAACAATATTCGCCAGCGGTGTAGAAAGGTGGTCCCGAACATGGAGACCAGATGTTTCATCGTTTCACAGATGATGATATAGAATATTACTCTCTTTGTTGTTGTTGCTGTTGTTGTTGTTGTTGCTTATATCTGGTTTTCGAACACACGATGTTGCAGATAAGGATATGGCACTACGGTCATAAGTGTTAAAAGCGATGACTACCTTGTTCGTTAACAACAACTTGCTCTGCCGAATTGCGCAACTTAGCCGTGTCTGGATCTGCTGACAGTCGTTTTACCCATCTCCTACGACCGTTATAGCCATGGCATAAATCTATTTAGGCTTTCCTTTTTGCAGAACTCATAGTTATGGCGCACTTGAACAATACGTCACGGTCAAGAGAGGTCATCGCTATTACTTCCGGGCGTATGTGAAGATCCTGAACTATGCACACGGCAAAGACAAGCAAGATGTAGCTTCTGGGATAAGCTTCACGGAACGAGGCAGCGGTGGAATTTAGCTATATACAAAATACAATATTTACATGTTAAGGTACATTGTACCGTTAATACACAGTGACACGCATTAATGTTAATTCTACTGTTTATTCTACAACATACTGCGACAACCGAAAACTGTTCTCTGTTGTGGCGTCGACCTTGACCTTTCCTATAACTGGTGTAGTGGGTTGTGTCTGAGTCTTGTGAACACCTGGTATCAACATATTGCTTTTACGGTTGTTTATGCGTTTAATATGTGATGTCCTTGCCGCTGTCTGGAGAGCGAAAAGTCGGTGGTTCGATCCCGAGCAGCGTCATTCTAAAAATACGTGAAAAGGGGTTAACAAAGGTAAACTGCGGCATGGTATCTAAGTGGACAGGCAGATCGATGCTCACGATGTCCATCACTGGATTGTATGGTCGAGGCTTGATTATTTACTATTTATATAGCAGGAATATTGCAAACAGCAAAGAAAACTTCCTTCAGAATCCTGTGTTGTAATGTATATATACTGACGGGCTAAAGAAACTTTCTCCTCGTTCAATTTGATCTCATTTAAAAACAACAACAAGAAATCGAAGTTTGCAATTTATAATTGTGAAGCAATGACATAGGCACGTGCTAAGTACAAACGATCGATTTTTGACAAGGCTGATAACGTATTGAACAGGTTATGGTCGACATGGGGTCAAACTACAGAATTCACGATCAGTTGGTCCATTCGGGAAACACAGAAAGCGTGAACAGAAGTCTCTTATAGCGAGTTTGTCCACCTCTGGATAGAAAACATGCTGCACTGTAACTGGTGGTTTCTGTCTCCGTTGAATAACTATATCAAGGTGGTCCCATACGTGCTCGATTGGCGACATGTCAGGAGAGCGTGCAGGCCATGGCAGGACGTTGACGTTGTTGGCGTGAAAGAAGTTCTGGACAACTCGAGCGACCATGTCTGTCTGTCAGCAGCGTCTCTCGGTACGGTCGGTAGGCCCTGATACCATAGGCCCGTAGTCTCCTTGACACTATCCTTCGACTCACTGGGTGACCGAGTGCAGTTGACGCTGATGACGTTACCGTCAGAAAGCGGTTTCTAAGGTGTAACGTCCTCAGGTCTTCCTGCGCAGTTGTCACCCGGGGTCTGCCTGTCTGGGGCCTGTCTGAGGTCTGACCAGTTTGTTGGTAGCGCCGACGAAGGTTCCTGACGGTCACGACGGAGAAATTGAAGGTTCTTGCAGCGTGACCCGTTGTAGTGCTATTTGCAACATTCTGCTGGCCCTCTCTCGCTCTGCTGAAGTTAACCTCGGCATTGTAAAGTGGTTTTCTGCTGAAGTACGATCTGCTCTGTGCTGTGAGGTGATTTTATACCATGCATTCACGTGCATCGTGCATTTTGCTGTTTTCGATGCAAAGTTGTCAAGAGGTGCGTTTGAGCGCTGATGTTGGTCAGAATCGAACCCTTGTTGTTGGCAATAACTATGGGGCAATTTGCATTTGATTATATTTTCGTATGTCAATATTATGAAAAAATTTGCAAGAGAAAGTTTCTTTTGCTCATCAGTATATTTGTAACTTATCCCCATAGGGAAGACCCACTACCAGGGGTTCGGCGTGACTCCGTACATACAGGTTGGCCAGTGGCACATCATCGGAGGGGATACACTCATCCCGGACGTTGGTAAGATGAAGTTTACAAACAGTATTGTTTGGGTTTTGTCATATTGCGTGAGTAATCTTCATCTCAGGAGATCTCAGTTTCGTATAAATATTTGTTTACCATCCAATGACGGTTGATTAAAAGTGACACAGGCCCAACCTCATACTGGTTTCTAGATGTTAGTGCGGTGGGTAATCTTTTGATGTGTTCATCTTTGCAAATCGATCGAATTTCAGAATTTTTAAACAGGACCGTGCAATGACGTTATCGCTCTAAAAGAAACAGAAAATACAATATATCAACACACAATACAACACATCATTGGGAATTTTCTCATGCGTATTTACTTGCTTCGCTTGTTGATACGTAGACCTTACGAATCGAAAATTCAAAATAATAAGAAACATCCGAAAAACAAGATTCCTTATATTCCACTCCCAGGACATTTTTATGACTAAAAGAGAACTTTGTCCATTAGTAAATCGTAATCTTTACTCAAAGTCGAACTTTAAAATGATTAAACTAATGTTGTGAATGCATTTTCTTATTACGAACACCGTTGATTGGACCTACGTAAAGAATTGTGTGGACACAACAGTAAAATGAGAACAAATAATATAAATAATTTAACTATAGTGATTATCGTTATATAATATACCAGATATTACTGGTGCGCACGTGTACATCCGACCTGATGACCAGAGCGTGGACTTCATCGTGGACGACGCCAGTCTACAGGAAATCCTCCCCCTTGACTGGTTTCCCCGCCGACGCAAACAAGAGGATCGATTCAATAAGAAAAGCTGATATCACGATCAGGTACGACGTTGGTACAACCAAACCATAGGTCGATACAAATTTGGGATTCGAACCCGCGAAGGGATATATGTTGAGACTTCGTCTATTGACCGAGTACACATTAAGGTGCTTTGCAGGTGACAAATGTGGATGTTAGGTCAGTTGTTAGGCTCGGTGAGGTGAGGTGAGGTGAGGTGAAAATGGGTTTAACGTGCTTGAGAATATTTCGCTCATATGACGACGTGTTAGGCTCGGTAGCCTGGTTGATCATCATCGCATCATATCGGCATGGGACGTTGCTCATTATGTTAATCACTGGTTTGTCTGATCCAGAGTCGGATGTTTACAAGCCGTCGTCACATAGTTGGGAAAAGAGCAAACAAAAGAGCACACTTGGACAGTTTTTCTACATGTTTAAAGTCAATATGGTAAATTCAGCTTTTATATTTTATTGTTTCTTGTACACAGGCTTGATGACCATTCGGTAGCCCCAAGCGGTCTAAGTGTCGAGGTAAGATAAAAATTTGTACTTTTCGTTAATTATGATTCACGATATGTTGTGATTTTTCTTGAAGTTTCAATACCCGTGAAGATCCGGGTTAGAATGGATCTTCAGCAATCCATGCTTGTCGTAAGAGGCGACTAACGGGATCGGGTGGTCAGGCTTGCTGACTTGGTTGACACGTCATCGTATTCCAATTGAGTAGATCGATGTCCATACTGTTGATCACTGGATTGTCTGGTCGCCATATAGCTGGAATACTGCTGAGTGCGGCGTAAACCTAAACTCACTCACTCACTCACTCATGCAAGTTTCAAGGATTATAGTGATAAATAGGTTAAAATTGGCGTGATGTATGGAACACTGTAAAGGGATATTCTCGACTTTTTGAAACAAGCGAAATGTGTCAAAAGCGCGAGAATGCGATATCGCGAAAATATGGCCAATTTTTGCGTTCTCGCGGTCTTGCATTCTCGGTTGGTTAAGTTTCCATAATCGAGATCGTGAGAATGCGAGAAAGCGTGTCATTTACAGTATTCCATCGTTACAAGCATATATCATTACTCTCACCTCCTATGTGTGAGCGAGTGAGTGAGTGAGGTTTCACGCCGCTTTTGTTCCGACAATATCACGGCAGGGGACACTAGAAATGTGTCCACACAGTGTACCCATGTGAGGAATCGAACCCGAGTTATTGGCGTGAAGCGTGAACGTTTTAACCACTAGGCTACTCCACCTCCCATATATTCAGTTTAACTGCTCCATGTACCCAAATAATATTTAATGATATAGAATGCATCAACGTCGTTTCTTCATTGCATTGGCATATATAATAATCGATGCCAGAATGCACTCGAATTAATGCTTTGTGACAGTTTAAACCTGCGGCGTTTGTGCTGTCTTCAAAACTTGGCATGAGGGTACAACACGTGGGTGATCGGGAACCCTTAACACAACTTTAACTCTATGTAAATCGTATGTTAAATCTTCCGAGTACCTTAATCCCGTTCCACGTCAGCAGCGATTTTTGCGCTTTCAACGAAGATTACAGCTGATATCAGATATATAATACAAATATATTCGGTTGTAGGTGCAAATGTGTATCGCCCTTTTACAGATCTAAACAAACATTAAGGCATGTTTGGCGATAAATTACTGCTCTGCTAAGGTTGATTTGGCCAGAGCAGGTTTACTTCACAAACTAACTGCAACACACTTTCCTTTTGTTTTGATTCCTTACGTGAACGTGTGATTGTTTTATTCTGTGTCCCCTAATCGGGGTCCGTTCAGGTAGACATGAGCACAATCAAAGCGGCCTTAGCTAAGGTTGCTCTACTGTAGCATGTTCCCGTTTTGTATACAACACATAATCAGTTGCATAGACCTTGAGAACAGTCATAGGTATCTTCGAATCCAAAACAACAGAATGGAGCATTTTTCTGGGCACCATTTTCATTTTCTAGATGTTTATTCTTATAATAAGATAACATTATCTATGTTACTAAATGTTAACTAGTCTACACGCTGCTGAAAATTATTGACCTTTCCCTCCAAAGACCAGCGCAAGTCCCTGTTCCACTAATCAATCGTAAGATTCTGGAAGTTCTTAGCGCAAAGATCGTTTTGTATAGCGGGGCTCAGATCAGCAATCTTCTAATTACATCCTCAACAAATTTTAGTAAAGATAGTGACACCCGGTGTTTAGATTCTATGTAAACTGTTCAATCACCAGCAAATGATTACATATTTGGAGTGTTGCATAGGTAGAGGAAACATCGGGTATGTTTGGCTTTGGGTCAGCTATAAATGCTAAAGCGCTGGTGGATCCAAGCATGAAGGGCTACCAGAACTTCTTCTACCAGAACTTCAAGTGGGCAGTCCATGGAGGCTACCTCAAGTGGAAGACGATGGAACCACAAAGGGTGAATCTAAATTATCCGTTCCTTATCCCAGTTGTATCCAAATTATTATTATACCTTTACCTCATGTTACCCCAGCCTTATCATATCCTTATCTCATATTTACAATCCTTATCCCATCCTTCTTATATCTATATCCCATCGTTACCATATGTTCGATTCCGCTGCATCCCTTAGCTATTCAATTATCCGCTGGTAATCAGCACCAATACCAGATTCTTCCCAGTACGAACAATTTTAGGAAGATGCATGCAAAATGTTACAGAACGTTTGGTCGGATACCATAATGGATAACATTTACATAATCGTCGCCATCATCATCATCATCATCATATAGCGATTGTGTTGTTTTTATAGGGTCACATCGACTACGACACTGCAATGAAGGCCATTAATGCACTGTTGAGTCACGGGTATGCATATATTCTACTGCACTAGTGTCTTCTGTTTGTAATGCATCAACATACACGTTATTGTCTTTTCTTAAACTCTGTCAAAAGAAACGCAACCCTGTATTTTAGAGATTTTGATCTGAAGTTTTAAGACGACACAGCATTTTTATTATTTAAGACAGAAGTCTGAAATTTGGCAGAATAATAACCAAGATGGGCATGTTTAAAATTGTCATTTCAAAGTCATCTCACAGACACCAGTTTGTCACCAGGGGGCGTCTTTCTCAGTAGTCTCGTATGAGGCACCACGAGCTGCAATCACTGCACGGCATCTCCTTGGACAAGAACGGATAAGACGCCGGATTCTTTCCTGGGGAATGGCTCTCCTCCACTACTCCTGCAGTGCAACGCCGAGCTGTTGCAGCGTCTGTGGCGGCGGCTGACGTTGACGTACGCGTCGACCCAGAGTATCCACACGTGTTCAATAGGGTTGAGGTCTGGTGATTTAGAGGGCTATGGCAAGACATTGACGTTGGAATTCTGCAGAAAGTTCATTGTTGCACGTGCAGTATGAGGCCGGGCGTTGTCTGGTTGAAAATCTGTGTGTCTGTTGGTCAATAATCGGGAGAAGGTGAGGCTGTAATACGTGGTTGATGTAACGTTGGGCTGTCAGGTTCCCTTCAACGATCACCCAAGTCCCGTTTCTCTGGTTGTATGAGATGGATCCCCAAACCATAACGCTTTCTCCGCCAAATCCTGTCCCCTGTCGGACGCAGATGGGCGCAAAACGCGTTCATGACGTCTCCTATACACACGTTTTCTTCCGTCGTGATGTTGCAAAAGAAACGGGATTCATCAGAAAACCAGATGCGCCTCCAGTTTTGTAAGAGTCCATATCCTTACGTTGTTGCACCACCTGGAGTCGTCAGCGGAGATGTAGGGGGCGTAGTACAGGTCCAACAACTGGTCTACAGGCACGTAAACCGCTTCTTTCAGACGGTTCCCTAATCGTTTGAGCTGACCTCTCCTCCAAACCTGGTATTTGTGGTGGCAGTCACGGTTGGTAAAGAGGGCATGCCGATTACGCAGGTGATGGACCCGGATGTACCGATCTTGAAGGGGGTCGTGATTCTTGGCCTTCCACTTCTCGGGCGATCGTTGGTCAAATTGAGAAGTTATTTGTAGCGGCTCCAAAGTCGGGATATCGTTGTTTTGTGAACATTTAGGTGCCGTGCAACAGTTCCGGCAAAACTTTTCTCCGGCTTTGAACGACCAATGGCGATATTTCGGTCGGCAGCACTCAATCGTGGCATTTTAAACACAGCTTTTCGGCGACAAATGAATGAATATAATACGAAAGCACATGGGCTTTTATACACTACATTAACTGCCATTTTCATGAGTTGCATGTGTTTTTTGTGCAAGAAGTCACCATGAGGGTCATTTCATGCGTTGTGACGGAATAAGCAATAAAATACACTTATGCGTACAAATGCAGTGAGTTGTTTGGATGGTAATCTTCATTAATTACGTGTATAATTTCAATACATTCAGATAAAATTTAGTTTGGAAGCAATAACTTCATTCAAACGAATTTTTCATATCTGAGGACAGGGGTTGCGTTTCTTTTTTGACAGAGTTTATATACATATACCTGACATTAAGATGAAGTTAAATGCTTAGACAAAGGCAATCCCGCATCATAACATGCATATGGTTTTATCTTCAGCGTTAAAATTAGAGGTCACAATATCTTCACGGGAGTCGAACTCGCCTGCCTGGGTTGACCACCTATCTGGACAAGCTTTACGCCAGGCAATGGAGAAACGCCTGCACGACGTGGTTGGGCATTACAAGGGAAAGTAAGTGATTGCCTCAAGTTATGTTTGAGCACTTGAAAGACATGCTTGGACATTTCAATGAAAGGTGAAGTTACCGCATTAAATTATGCTGAGAACTTCTTGGACGTGCTTGGACATTTGAAGGGAAGTGGTGAGACACCGCATTAAATTATGCTGAGCTCTTCAAAGACGTGCTTAGACATTTCAAGAACAAGTAACTTATCGCTTTAAGTTATGTTTGAGCACTTGAACGACGTGCTTGGACATTTCAAAGACAAGTAAGTCACTGCATTAAGTTATGTTGAGCACTTGAAATACGTGCTTGGACATTTCAAAGACAAGTAAGTCACTGCATTAAGTTATGTTGAACACTTGGAAGACGTGCTTGGACATTTCAAGTACAAGTAAGTCACTGCATACCGTCAGTATATAGCCAGACCCCAGCTGTCCTAAAGATTTTTAAAGAATATTATGTCCTTCTACACATTGTGTGTACCACATACTCTGCATAACAAATGGTAATATCCATCATGTTCTTGAAGACCAGAACATTGTAAGACCATTCAAAGACAGACATTGACCTCTTTCCCAGATTGCAGAGGCGGTAGGGTAGCCTAGTGATTAAAGCGTACGCTCGTCACGCCCAAGACCTGGGTTCGAGTCCCCACATGGGTACAATGGGTGAAGCCCATTCCGCCGTGATATTGCTGGAACATCACTAAAAGCGGCACCCACTCACTCACTATTCCAGATTGCAGCAGTGGGATTATGGACAACGAGTGTCCTGAGTAACGACACCCCTTGTACGCCATTCCGGAGACGGAAACCTCACCATGTGGATGTTTTGAGAGGCCCACAAGATCGACCCTAACGTCCAGCTGTACTTCAACGACCACGAGGAATTATGAACTACAAACAAACATACCGTGGTATGTCCGTCCGAAGTTACTTCCCTCCCAGCTCCATGAAAACCGTATCTCTGGGGTTTTACGCGTTTATGTTTATATTGACTTTGTACGGCATTTTAGAAGTGATGATACACAGAATGGCGAGGCGGCGGGAGGTAGCCTAGTGCTGTTAAAGCGTTCGCTCGTCACGTCGAAGGTCCGGGTTCGATTCCCCACATGGGTACAACTTGTGAAGTCCATTGCTGGTGTTCCCCGCCGTGATATTTGCTGGAATATTGCTAAAAACAGTAAAACCCATACTCAATGAAGTCAGTCAGTCAGTCCATTATATGCAGAATTGTTACAGAAGTCCAGCCCCTTTAAGTCTAAGGAATACGACGTCTCAGTATTTTACTTAATCGACTTTGTCGCTTCGCATAGAGATAGGATAGCGTCTCAATTATTATTTGTTCCTAACTGGATCCACTATCAAATCTACAGAACATTTTTACATGATTCGAAATTATGCATGTAACTTAACAAATAAAGACATAATGCGTACTTCCTTGGAAATACTTGAAGCTTCTCATGTGTTGAGAATAATAACAACTATATTTACATATCGAGTTGGAAACTGGGATCGGTTAAGACATGTTTCTACATTGTGTCTAGGAATGGCGGTGAAAATGCTTTAATATGTTCTCATTTGTTAAAGCCGATAAAGTACAAGGTTCATGTAAGAAACCTTTAGCTTTTTCTTCCAGGCTTTTTAGAAGACCAGGCTGTGTGCTACAAGGCGGCGGGAGTTCCTGTTTCGGAATGGGCATACAGAGTCACGTCCGGCACCCAATAGACCTGGCGGTGATCAAGGCAATATTGAGGGTTATATAGACTCGTGTATACTCAGCGTCATGATTGAAAGGGTCCTTGGGTAGTGGAGGTGTCATCACATGACAGTATGCTGACAGTTTATTAACAGGAACATGTTGGTTATACCTGTGTCACACTGAATGGATGCTTTCCCGAAACAATAATAAATAACATCGGCTATTGATTGAAGAAGGTTAGAGATCCGGGTTAGAAATGGTCTTCAGCAACCCATGCTTGTTGGAAGAGGCGACTAACGGTTGGTCAGGCTCACTGATTTGGTTGACACATGTCATCGTAGGCTAATTGCGGAGATCGATGCTCATGATGTTGATCACTGGATTGCCTGGTCAGACTCGCGTTATTTACAGACCGCAGATTATGTAGCTTAGCTAGAATATTTGCTGAGTGTGGCGTTAAACAACAAACAAACAATCAAAACAAACGCATGACCTTGTTCCCCAGTCTCGGCTGGACGAGGGTGGCCGGGCTGGACTGCCCATCACCGGATCACCGAGATGACCATAGAGGAGTGCCAGAGAAGGACAAGCCACAGATGTTTGACGACTTGTTGCGACTCTCAGCTTCAGCCACCCATCAGTCCAGGGGCATCATGCTGTGGGGCTTCTGGAGAACAAACTGGATGTCCCGACCCGAGTCAGCTCTCTGTACTGGATCGGACTGCACAGTAAAGTTGCATGTATTGTGTGAGACGACATCGTTTTTCTTTTTCAGGCAACCCTAGTTTTAATGAGTGAGATCAATCTAACGCTCCCACTATTTCAGTTATTTCACGTAGTATAAGCATGAAATTGGAGGTAGGTCCGTTTGATGAAATCCAAGGCCAAGGATATGGTACTGACAGGCCAAGAAACAGAGATTCGAACCACCATCATAGTGTTCTGGAACATCCAAGGGACGGAACTCTGCACACCGAATTGTGGCGCCGGAGGGGTGATTGTCAACCATCCCACCTCTACTGGCCTGAGTGTCCTAACCGCGACATGCCGCTAAACCATATGATCAAAGTGATGAGCTTTCGAACCTGGACAGAGGGAAGTACCTTTACTACTAGGTACCCCATCGTCTCATGCCTACGAAAAGGGAATTAATGAATGCTAATAAGATAATGATGACGATAAATGTTGTAAATTTAATTTCGTGTGAATAAATCAATATTTTGTGTCTACTATGTTGGGGGATGCTTGCACGGATGACATACTGTTGAGTAACCTGCGAACAGTACTTGTATTTTATAATGATCCTGCGAACCTTACTTCTACTCTATAATGATCCCAATAATCACATTAGTTCACCTGCCAAGTGTGTTATTACCTCACACCATGACACTACTTCCCCACCTCGACGTCACCAACAACGTTGGCGACGGTCTGACTAGGCCAAACCTTAATTCGTCCGTAAAACAAGGTGTTATGCCACTGTCAAAACTGCAAACAATATAGGAATGCATGGTTGTAAATTAATCATTAACACCCATGTCCCCACAGAGGTTTGACAGAGCTTTTACAGTGACTGAGTGAGTTTAGTTTAATAGTATCATGGGGTGGGACACCAGAAGGACTTCACATTGTATCCATGTGGGGAATCGAACCCTGATCTTCGACGTGACGAGCGAACGCTTTAACCATTAGACACACACACAGACACACACACACACACACACACACACACACACACACACACACACACACACACACACACACACACACACACACACACGCCCCACTATTATTACACACATCACAGCTGCAATACGGGCGTGGGATAGAACTATTACGACAATGCTTTATGATGTGACTTTGCGTGCAGAGGGTGGCGGGATAGCCTAATGGTTCAGTTCGCCTCGCTCGTCGCTGAAGACGCGTGTCTGATTCCGCAACATGGGTACAATGTGTGAAGCCTATTTCTGAGTGGCCCCGCCGTGATATTGCTGAAATATTTCCTAAATGGCGGCGGAACTAAACTTACCTCACTTACTCATACGGAAGCTGCCCCTGTTTTACAGCCCTAATGACACTGGCAAACGTGTCCACCAGCTCATACAAACTGAATGGCGGACACGAGAGACCCATGACCTACATAAAGGTCAAACTATACACATCCGAGGATTTAAAGGACACTACACGTTGCGTGAACAGAGCACACTGGTCACGTGATCCACGAGGAGAACTTCTATCACGGGCTACAAGGGGACAGACCGCTGAAAGCATCACTTTCTCAGGATCTAGTAAGTAGAAGTCGTGTTGGTTCTGTGCCAATATTTTAAGAGTGTTTTGTGTTGTTTAATGCCGCACTCAACAATATACAAGCTATACATGGCGGCGATGCATAAATCAGGTGATTAACATCATGTAGGCATTGATTTAACGCAGTTGGGATGTCATTTTGTGTCATTCCATATCAGCGAACCTAATCACGCAATCCCGTTAGTAGCCTCTTCTTCCAGCAAGCATGGGTTGCTTAGAAGGTCAATTCTAGCCGGATCTTCACTTAAAGAGTGCCTACGTTCCACCGTCTGTCGTCGATATGATCAGAGTCTGAATCTGCACTGGGTCTTTATAATGAAATTAACCGTTCTAACTTCTAGACCCCACCGGACGAACCTGGTTAGAAATGGTCCTCAATAACCCATTCTTGTCAACGATCCGGGGGTAGAATAGGTCTTCAGCAACCATGCTTGCCACAAAAGGCGACCATGCTTGTCGTAAGAGGCGACTAACAGGATCAGGAGAGTCAGGCTCGCTGACTTGGTTGACGCATGTCATCGGTTCCCCAGTGCGCAGATCGAAGCTCTCATGCTGTTGATCACTGGATTTGTCTGGTCCAGAGTCGATTATTACAGACCACCGCCATATATCTGGAATATTGCTGGAGTGCGGCGTAAAACTTCTAACTCCACTCCACTCATTCTTGACAACCTTGATGAGTTTGGCATTTACACTTTTGCGTGGTCGACCCATCGACACCGTGCAGATTGATGTTCATGATGTCAATCACAGGGTTGTCTGATTCGGATAATTGCTATAGACCACGTCATGTTGCTGGTAAGTTTGACAAAACGTAACACGAATAATCGTTAAAGACTTATATTGATTAGAGATGATTTTTGCCCAACAAAGTAGAATCTAAATGACTTGCTACGGTTATCCGTTTAGCGGAGTGTCTGTTTTAGATATTTCACAGTGTTTGGCGTAAAGGTCGGTTTTCCACTTTACATGCTTTAATAATTTTATATGAGAGCTGGCCACTGACGGTGTGGACATTTGTCCAACTTGTCGGACGGTAGGAATGAACCACGTTTTCTTTGTCAGGTTCTCGTCCGCATGTGAATCAAATTCTGGTCGGCTAAAACGAGACAGAGGCAGCAAATACTTTAAAAAAATGTGTATATCGATATATCATTCCCTTGTAGCGAATTAAACCATAACCAGTTTCTGCTTGGATTAAATCACAAAAACAGAAACGATTGTTGTCGGGGTTATTTCCAGAAGGTATTGGTGCCCCACGGTTGGGTGTATGGGTAAAATAATTTTGTGGTGTGTTTCCAGGTCTCATTTCCTGCCGTCATATCAACCGTACAATGACAGATCGCTGAAACTGGACACTTATTTGTCGTGGGTTCGAATCTCAGTTTCGCTCTAATGTTAAATGACGCCCCTATGTACGCATACCTACGTTTCTGTGTGTTACTACCGTCTTCACGTTGCGTTAAACGCAGCTCACCACTCGCCGTTCTTATGAGTGTGTCGACCTTTCCGGATTATGGGTTTGAACAAGGTCCCCAGAAAGCTTTGCTGTTTCTGAAAGGCGACCAAAACGACCGGATGGTTAAAAAGGCTGCCTGAGTCATGGCGTGTCATCGAACTCCGACGGCGTGGATCGATGCTCATCATATCCAGTCACTGTACTACCTGGTCCAGGACTTAGATTATTCAAAGTACACTGTCAATACTGCGATATAACTGTGCGATGGTGGCCTGTAGTCGGAGTGATTGGCATCATGAGAGCATCGATCTACGCAATTGGGATAACGATGACGTGACCAAACAGCGAGTCAGCAAATGATCATCATGTTACTGAAGATGTCTTCTAACGCAGTGCGCAATGATGCTTTATCCAGTCATATGAACAAAACAACATGATGATTTTGCCTGCTTGATTACCGTCGTTTAACAACATCAGACGCCAGAAACCAATGCAAGAATGTGTTTATTTATCACGTTTAACTGCTGACGTATTCCAGTGTTTGACGGAATCATTGTGCCAGCTGACATATCGCTCAATGCGAGCGAAACAATGTAATCTCTTCCTCAGCCAAATGACAACCCTACACACCTCCTTTCACAAACACAATGGCGCAACACACGAAACTCCAGGCAAGACATGGCAGACTCTCCCTACCAGGGCTGAAAGGAGAGTACTCTTTCAGTACACCTGGTCACGTGATACCAGGATTCCATCATTCAGCCGTATCACAAAATGACGTCATCAGCAGCATTTAGTTAATGTTTAACAATGGTGACTACTACTATGTAAAGAACGGAAATTCCAGATGCGATGTGTGTGTGTGTGTTATTGTGTCATGTGTATTGTGTGTGTGCGCGCGCGCTGTATGTGTAGCTGAGCGTATGTGTTTGTGTGTTCTTCACCTTCCTACGAGTTCCTTGGTTTTGCACCTCAAACGACAAATTTCTGAATCGGTTTTGATGGCCGACGACGACATTCGACCTGTGAAGATCAGAGATCTAGTCTTCAGCAACCCACGTTTGTCTTGAGGCTTAGACCGATGAAGATCTCGAAACCGAGAACTGGTCATCAGCAACCCATGCTTATCGGAAGAGGCGACTAACGTGATCGAGTGGTCAGGCTTGCTGACTTGGTTGACAGCACATGTCATCGTATCAAATTGCGCAAGAACGATGCCAACGATGTTGATCGTGGATTGTCTGGTCCAGACTCGGATTATTTCCAGGAGATCGCTGCCATATACTGGAATATTGCTGAGTGCTGCCTTAAACAGCAAACCAACCAACCCAAAATATGTTTTCTTTGTGTACACATTATGATCAGGAACATAAGATGTTGAAAACGTTTCCTCACTAGTCGAAACAATGGCGGTACAGGGACTTATTTCATGGCGATGCTATATATACACTGATGATAGGGGACGGTAGGGTAGCTCCTCGTCGTTAAAGCGTTCTCTCGTCACGCCATCAATACTTTTCTAACTCCGTGAAGAAACTGGTCTCCAGCAACCCGGGCTTGTCCTGGTGAAGATCCCTGTTACAACTGACATTCATCGACCCTACATGTTTGTTGCGCGGCTTCGATCTGGGTTAGAAATGGTCTCAGAACCCATTCTTTTCCCTTGAAGATCCCGGTGAAACTGGCGTTGCGACCCAACCTTGTCTGCCACACCCCCTGCAAGATTTGAGTTCGGAATTAGTCTTTCAGCGGCCCGCTCTAGCCCTAAGCTGAGGTAACAGGATTCATGGTCAGGGCTGCTGATATGGTTATCACATTTTGCGTAGAACAATGGTCCTTTGATGTCAGTCATACATTGAAGGCTGCCACACTCTGACTAATTTGGAAATAACTTTTCCTTCACCCACCTCGAATATTGCTACTTCCTTCCGGTATGTTGAAAGCCCGTGGAGATCCCAACCCAGAATTACTCTTCAAGGGCCTTGATATTTCGAAGGCCTCTCTTAGCGCAAAAGACAGTCGTAAGTTAATGTCAACGTATGGCGCTTATATGGCAAACGTGTATGGCGAATGTGGGTGCTATAAGCTGAGAAAATCTAGGGCCCATAATATACTCATACTTGTCGAAAGAGGCCACTTTACGGGTCCAGGCTCGCTGACTTGGTTGACACATGCACCGTCATATCCATACTTGCAGGTCCGATTCTCACATCTGTCAATCACTGGACTGTCTGGTCCAAATCTTTTTATGCACGAACACCGTCATAAAAATGGAACATTGCCCATTCCTGCGTTAAAAACACAAACAAACAAAGCCAAGCTTCACGTCACACGCGTGAGACTACACAGTCTTGGTTGCCAGCTTACAAGGCTCTCGGACGAGGGTGTCCATTGCACATCTACTTGTAAATAAACAAACAGAATCACTGTTTACTATTGCACGTCATTTACAGTAAACAACACAGTGGTGAAAGTACACTGTTTGACAACAACGCGACATCTATTCTCTCCCAAACAACAAGTTGTAAATCTTCGATGGGGTCAGCTAGTAATGTATTAATTCCAAAGAGGCCGTGTCCTTCTGCGAAAGCCCTCACACCCTCTGGTGTTTTGGCAGCACTTCAGATGGTCAATATTTCTTCCTCTCAACGTAATAGAAAGCAACTTTAGTTTTCAGTGTAGGTATGTACATGGTGGGGCAAAAGAACCTGAACGGATCCTAAAGTAAGTTTGTTCAGCTGAACCTCATACACGATCAGCCCGGCGCTCTGCGGTATTTTGAATTATAGCTATAAACAAATTAACCTACGCCCACGGGAATCGAACTCTCAACAAATACTACTCTTGGTGGCGGATGGCAGCTCGATGGACGGCAGGGGATACACGAGCTCATAAAGCGGAAGGACATGCGAGTGAGTACTTCGATTTTGGATTTACCGGGGAACTCATCGCAAAAGTAGGAGCAATTTTTACTTTTACTTATCTCATGTCAGCGTCTTTCTTTCTTATGAAAATATCTGGATTTAAAGAAACTCAACTTTGAATTTTTATTGCTGTAATGCATCGAAGCCGTACGGTAAGGACCAAGAGATGCGTATATAAACGTACGTGTCTATCAGCTATGTTCATTTTAGAAAGTTCGGCTGTATAATAAAATGCAAGGTATACCCAGTATGAATGAGTGATAGTTTTACACCGCTTTCTGGCAACTTGTTTCAGCAATATCACAGCGGGATCACAGCAATAAGCTTAACACAGTGTACTACTACGTGCTACGTGTATGAGTCTCCAATATCACCACCATTATCACCTCGGATGGCCCGTCTACATCATTAACGAATACGGAATTATGTTATTACCACGCCTACTTCCTTTGCTGTAGGTAAATAGATATATATTTGGATCTGATTTTCTGTGTACCGAAATCGTGTATTTAAAATTAGACTGATTCTACATCATGGGTGTTAGTCTCCAAATGTAGTTAAGTGATGCCTTGTTGATTATATCCAAACACTGGAGGTAATAACCAGTTTGAGAGTGGCATTTAGAAGAACAATATATGGATGAACAGCATCTTTATTACAGTGAGAGCGACGTTTCCGGTGTGTAGGTTCTAACACCGTTATCAATAAGTGATGAACAGAATGAGGGTGGAGAGATGTATATACAAGTGTAAGGAGAATAGGGATTAGGACTGCAAAAGCATAGGGAAGACAGTTAACAATAACTGTCTTCATCACTTTGCTTGGTAACAGTGTTAGAACCGAAATGTCCCTCTCACCGTAATAAAGAAGTTGTTCATCCTATATTGTTATCAGCCTTCCTCGCTGGAGGCAATATCTGGCGGTATGTGGTATTACTCTGCTGGCAAAAATAATATAGTTATTTGGTAAGTTGATAATGATAAGATAAGAATAATATTTATTTAAATGTAATACATATGTTTAAAAGTGTCACACAATAAAAACAGTTAAAAAGTATACCATCTGGCCATATGGTCATATGAGACACTATCACAATTTGTATCACAGATAAAATCATAAATAACGATAAACACTAAAGTATGCAGCTTTCTCTCTCTCTCTCTATATATATATATATATATGTGTGTGTGTGTGTGTGTGTGTGTGTGTGTGTGTGTGTGTGTGCTGATTAGTGGGTACAGGTCCCGCCTGCCCCATCCCACACCCCACTCTCTCACTGCATATATACACATGTCTGTAAGAGATGCTGTCGTAATACTGCAATGTATTGCTTGTTAATGCTTGTAACAGAGTGAACTGTGCAAAGTATCAGTAAAAACTAAGTATTGGAATATCAAGTACTGTTATTGTATAGTCCTCTATATCGTATATATAACAAAGGGAAATATGTCGCTTCGGTTGTCAGTTTCATGGCAATAGAGATACCGTAGAAGGCCCAAGTGTATGGCACTGCCAATGCCATTTGACGTCATAAACGTCATGACGTCAGGAAACAGTTTTGCCAATACCCTTTATAAACTGTATAGCGATGACCCCAAATGACCAGACGGACTGAAGTAGAAAATAAGTTAGACCCACAGGCAACTTCGCTGTTGATTATAAAGGGGGCCTGGGGCGGGTCGCAAGACAACAGGAGACTATATATGGAGCATGCAAGGGCAAAGCGTGACTGTGCTACTGGAAAGTGAAACAGGTTGGATTGGTTAAGCTGGGATAAGACTTATTGATTACAATACAAAATATAATACCATCTTTGAGTGGCATTTAG